AAGTGACTGAAATATCAACCTAAAATAAACAAAGTGACTGAAATATCAACCTAAAATAAACAAAGTGACTGAAATATCCACCTAAAATAAACAAAGTGACTAAAATATCTAATGTGGAACAGTTTTTGGAGTCTCTACACGACTTTCACAGTTGGAGCTTACATTCTGCACGTTCCCAGAGAAACGCTCAGCTGTGGAGGAGATGGCGTTCTTCACTTTCCTCAGCAGGTCCTTCTTTGTCTCTGGACAGCTCACATCCTTCTTAAGCATGAGGTGAGCAAACCTCCTGCACAAAGTGAAGATAAAACACAGAAAAAGTCAAAACGTGTGTAAATATGGGCCCAAACTGAAGCAGCTTTTATCTGATTTCAGTACCTGAGCAATGCGTTGGTGGGCACCTTCCTCCAGGGGATGCTCTGCTTCAGCATGTCGATGGAGAAGGAAGGCAGGCTGAAGAGGGACTGAAGGATTGCGTTCATGTAGCATGTGTTGCCCAGATTAGAAAACCTGCAGTTTGACATATTATTACATTATTTCTGCAGTTTCAGAACAACCCAGARAACTGATTCCTAAAGAAGACAGGAAGTAAGAACCGTTAGATATTTACCCTTGCAGTGGGGGCTGTGGCTGGGTCAGAGTCGAGGGTCTCTGCTTGTTCCAGCCGCTGTAGTCCAGGGAGGGTCGGACTTTCTTGAAGGGGGTGGAGTGGTTGGGCAGCACYAGGCTCCTCTTGGCTGTGGTGGTCTGAGAAGTGCTGGAAGGCCTGGCGGGACACGATCACACCGTTCAGCACCTGATCTGAACAGATCTAAGTCTCAGCTCGCTCAGACTCACCGGTCCAGGAAGGAGTGACTCTGGCCGTAGTCTTTAGTTGCAGATCGGCTCCCGTAAAACGACGTGGGCTGAAGTGGAGTCGAACCCAGAGGAGCTGCGGATTAAAGGAAACGCCTGATCACAGCAGAGTTTATATTTTCTGTCACATGAGACAAACCTGTTAAGATTTTAAAGCATCTTTAAAAAGGTAAATACCAARCACTTTTATTTAAAGTAAAGTGGAAACAAAAAACTAAACTGTTAGAACCAGTTTAAAGGAACGGAGTACTTCAGTCCAGGGTATAAGATTATGGAATAATCTGGAAGATGACATTAAAAATGCGTATATTTAAGAGAATGATAAAGAATAATTTGCTGTAGAAATATGTAAATGTATGAATTGCTGTTCAAGGAGTTAAACCTTTGTATTTTTATTTTTATAAACTAAAGATTATACAGTGGTTTGCAAAAGTATTCATACCCCTTGAACTTTTCCATATTCTGGAAGATGACATTAAAAATTCCAGATCAATGA